GTTAACTTGTGACTAAGCGTGGAAAGACAGGTGTCGAATGGCGTTTTCAAAGAATGCCTTTTTCTTTCAGAGTCGAAATAAGGCATTCTTGGGGGGCAATTTGTTGGCTCCTAAATTCGACACCTTTGTTTTGATTGGTGTCAGCCATTAAAAGCTGAAAGATGCTTTCGACTGGCTAAGCCTGTCGAAGTGCCCGTCGAAAGATGGCAAAATACTTAGAAGATTTCTTCCAAGGAAGAAGGCTGGTTGCCTTCGACGTCGAAGGAGTTTTCGTCGAAGACGTCTCTTAATGAAGGTGTTCGATGGTCCAGAGTGGAGCAGTTTGAAATTCAAAGCTTTGGAGGGAAAACGGTTTCCAGCAGTTACTACGTGCAAACGTGCAAGGATCTGGAGCGTCGGGCATGGAGAACGTGCCAAGTGGCTTGATCTCGAAGCAGTGTAACTGCCCGACGGTTACTTGGAATGTTTTAGTATAAATAGGAGTAGACATGTAGTTTCTCGCGTGTGTTCACAATTCTATACATAGTCACTCATTTAGATTCAAGTACCCAGTGTGTGAGAAAGAATTGTTGAGAAATGTATGTGTGAAACACCAATTTTATCAATTAAAGTCATTTACTTTCCCAGAATTTTACTTGCTTTTCTCTTTACATTTCCTGTCGAACCTTTACTTTAAAGCCTTGTTTATTTCACCAAGTCTTTCCTTTATGCAATTTATTTGAAACCTTTAATTTAAAGCCTTATCCACCTTAATCAAACTTCAAAATCAACCTATGTCCATAGGATCAATCTGATCGATCCTGCGAGTAACCAAATAAATAACCATTTGGAGGATCAGCGGTTGTTTACCAAAACCCAAGGTAAACACTAGCATAAACACATATCCTGCTGTTGACTTTCGATCTTCAGCATCACTACACCAACTCGAATCAGTGTATCCCACTAACTTGCATTCTTTTCCTTTATCAACTGCAGGAAACAAAATGCCATAATCGAAAGTTCCTTTGAGATACCTTAGTATCCTCTTCACAGCTGCTAGATGTGATACCTTTGGCTTCTGCATGAATCTACTTACCATACCTACACTGTATGCTAAGTCAGGCCTTGTATGACAAAGGTATCTCAATGATCCAATAAGTCTTCTGTATTGGGTTAGATCAACATCATCTTCATCAGCATCTTTCGACAGTTGCAGTCTTGGTTCTGCAGGTGTCGAAGTTGCGTTGCATTCTTCCATCTCAAACCTTTTGAGAATTTCTCCTGCATATCTTCTTTGATGCATCATCAAACCTCTACTTCTCTTGTAGAATTCGATACCAAGGAAATATGAAATCTCACCCAGATCAGACATTTCGAATTCCTTGCTAAGGTCTACTTTGAAGTCTTCGATCTCACTCTTGCAGCTACCTGTTATCAACAAATCATCTACATAGAGACATAGTATAAGCAATTTACTCTTGCTTCTTCTTACATATACTCCATGTTCAGTTATGCACTTCACAAATTCCTTCTCCCTTAGAAAACTATCAATTTTCTTATTCCAAGCCCTTGGAGCTTGTTTCAAACCATACAGGGCTTTATGTAGCCTGTACACCTTTCTTTCTTCGTCATGTTTCACAAACCCAACTGGTTGTTTAACACAGACTTCTTCATCTAAGGGTCCATTTAGGAATGCACACTTCACGTCCATCTGACATATGTGCCAACTGTTGATTTCTGCTAGACCAACAACCAGCCTGATTGTTTCGATCCTAGCAACAGGTGCAAAAACTTCGTCGAAGTCTATTCCTTCTTTCTGTAGAAATCCTTTCGCCACAAGTCTTGCTTTGTGTCGAGTTACTTCACCTTTCGAATTAGTCTTCACTTTGTATACCCACTTGACATCAATTTCCTTCTTGCCTTGGGGCAATTCGACAAGTGACCAAGTGTTGTTGTCTTCGATAGACTTTACTTCTTCGTTCATTGCTTTCACCCACTTCGAATCCTTTAATGCTTCAGCTGCATTAACAGGTTCGACATCTGCATAGAAAGCATAATGTACCAGCTCACCTTCATCATCTATTACATCATCTGATGTAATCACACAATCTTGCAATCTTGCAGGCATGCGTCTTGTTCTTTGAGGTCTGCTTGTACTGGGTATATCTGTTGGCTCCTCTTGTCGAACTTCTCTTTCGACTTGAGTTTCTGGCTCTTCGAATAAGATTCCCACTGAATCTTTCTTGACATTTGCAGTCCAATCTCATTCTTTGAACTCATCTATGATCACGTCCCTGCTGATCACAATCTTCTTATTCTCTGGATCGAACAACTTGTAGCCTCCTGTCGAATGATATCCAACTAGGATCATTTGACTTGACTTGTCATCAAGTTTCTTTCTCAACTGATCTGGCACATGTCTGTGTGCAATAGATCCAAATACTTTCAGATGACTTAGGCTAGGCTTCACACCAGACCAACATTCTTCAGAAGTAATTCCTTCTAGCTTCTTTGTAGGACTCCTGTTCAAAATGTATGTTGCAGTCGAAACAGCTTCACCCCAGAACTCTTTGGGTAAATTCTTGCCTTTCAACATACTTCTCACCATGTTCATGATGGTTCGATTTTTCCTTTCTGCAATTCCATTTTGCTGTGGAGTATAGGGTGGCACCACCTCATGCACAATCCCTTCTTTTTCACATAATCTGTCGAAGTCTTTCGACACATATTCTCCTCCACCATCAGTTCTCAAAACTTTGAGCTTTCGACCACTTTGTCTTTCGACCATGGATTTGAACTTGGTAAATACTTCGATCACTTCACTTTTCTTCTTGATTAGGTAAGTCCATAGATTTCGACTGAAATCATCTATGAATGTAACAAAGTATTTGTTACCTCCCATCGAATCCACCTGAATTAGTCCACATACATCAGAGTATATGATTTCGAGATTAGCCTTCGATCTGCTTCCTACATCCTTGCTGAAGCTGTTCTTGTGTTGCTTCGCCTGCACACATTCTTCACATACTTCGTTTGGAATGTCAATTTTAGGCAATCCTGAAACCATATTTCTTCTCTTCAAATCTCTGATGTCTCTGAAGTTGAGATGACCAAGTCTATAATGCCATATCCATTCATCTCTGCTAGCTGCAGTCGAAAGGCACTTGTGCTCCATCACATTTAGTTCAATCTTGAAGGTTCGATTCTGAGACATAGGAGCCTTCAAGATTACTCTCCCATTTGCATCAACAACTCTCATCAACTTATCTTCGATTGATACTTTATAATTCTTTTCGACCAACTGCCCTATACTGAGCAAATTGCTCTTCATGCCTGGTATGTACAATACATTCGAAATTACTGACTTCTTGCCATCTTTCCTCATGATCATAACATCACCAATACCTTCAGCTGCTAGGGTGTTGTCATTTGCAAATTTTACCAAATTCTTCGTTGAGGGTTTTATATTGACGAACCATTCTTTCCTTCCAGACATATGTGATGAACATCCTGAATCTAAGTACCATTGGTCCTTGAATCTATCTTCGTCTTTTGTTGTGACCATTAGCATCATCTCTTCTTCTTCTTCTTCTTCATGTTTTGCAAGCTTTGCATCACTTTCTTGATTCTTTCGTTTTTCTGGACAATCACTCGAATAGTGACCATACTTCTGACAATTGTAACATTGAATGTGACTCTTATCAGGTTTTCGACCACCACCTCTTCCTCTGTTTACAGCACCACCTCTTTGGTTGCCTTGGTGTGGTCTTCTTTGATTCGACACGTCTCCTTCGATTTGGTTTCCTCTACCATTCGATTTGTTGTAGCCACCTCTACTTCTGTCGAAATACTTTCCTTTGCCTTTGGTCTCTTTTGCTGAATGTGCCTGCAAGGCCACATCACTCTTCGATTTTCCTGCAGCTCTTTCGTTCATTCTTTGTTCATGAGATTCGAGCGTCCCTTGAAGCTCTTCCTTTGTCAATTTCGACAAGTCTTTCCCTTCTTCTATCGCCACCACTATGTGGTCGAACTTAGGGGCTAAGGATCTCAGGATCTTCGAAACAACAGCTCTTGTTGTTAATATTTCTCCACATGTCTTGATTTGATTTACTAGTTTTGTAACTCTAGTGAAGAAATCAGATATGTTTTCACTGTCTTCCATCTGAAGCAGTTCATAGGTCCTTTTGTGAGTTTGTAACCTCACTTCTTTCACCTTCTCAGCGCCTCCAAAAGACTTCTCAAGGATTTTCGCCAAGCGCTTCGACTCCATCTTTTACAAGGTCCCAAAGGCCTTGACACCTTAATAGGACTTTCATCTGCTTGCACCAATTCTCATAGTTGTCAACTTTCAGAATTGGCAGCGTTGCTGGATAGTTTGCATTCCCATAACTTGTCATCGTGAATTCTTCAATCGTTCTTGATTGATACTTCCCTTGAATCGAAACACAAGCTCTTGATACCAGATGTTGGAAATCCACCAATACTCTATGATGAATTTCGACCACCACTGATGATTAGTTATGGCAAACAAATAAAAGAACAATGGAGATATTTCTGCAGAATTTCTATTATGCCCACAAACTGTGGAATCTTTATTAATTCACTTTGCAACTGCAAAATACTGTAAATGACTTGATTACAAAAAATAGGGGTTACTCCCTCTATTTATAGATTTAGGTTAGCTTGCTCCCTAAGCTAAAACCCAAGCCCAAAATATCTTTTTACTAAATCAAATCTAATCAAATCTAGATTTAAATTCAAATCTATTTAAATCTAAATAAATCAAATCTTCTTTTTTGACACATATGAATTACAATTTAACAGGATTCAGTTTCCCCACAACACATCCCCATTTCCCCACTTGGTTTCTGATACAACTCAGCACCAGTAGTTTCCCTGCACTGAATTGTATCGACATTGAAATGAATGCCTATCTTGTAACGTATTTATCAAGATTTGCAAGCAACATAAAACATGCTTCTTTTTGTATAATGTATCATGAACTAAACGAAGCTCCAACACTATGCAGTCTTCAACTTTTGCAACTCATACTGGCTTGTATCTTCCGAGTATAAAACGCCTTTGGGAGATAGAAGGCGCAGAAGGGCCATTGAAAATCGAGCCTAATATACACAATATTTCCCTGTCAGAATATATTCATGAAATAATACTAGTACTTTCTATAAGTTCTAGGACTGAGTCTTACCCATTGAAATCCAGCAAGGGCAAACCAGCAGCCTAGCAAACCATATCTACTAAGGATCTGCATCGATGTAAATTGGGTGTTACAGAAAGATTGGTCAAGATATATTACTATGTACACCAGCAAACCAAGGAAAAGTTGTTACCAGTAATACTAGACCATTCAAACAAAAGCATCCACTCATTGACAAACTTATAAATCTTAGATCCCTTCCAGCCTGCATAAGCAAATATGGTTTCCCTTCTTTGAATTAGTAACAAGAAACCCGCTGGAAAGATAAATTAAATTGTTACAACTATTGGGGAGTTCAGAGGGCACCGAAAACTACAACAGGCCAATGATCCAAGATCAGTAAGAGATCAGAACACAACTTTTTCCACCAAAATTTTAAGGCATTAGATATATAAATCATCTTTCTTATATATCATGAGCTCGGTACATTATATATGGTCTAATGGCCTTAAAAAGAAAACTACACGGTTTACTTGAGCAAGTTTAATGCAACCACCAAAGTAATTAATTAACCACTAACAAATTGTCATTCAAAAAAAAATGCCAGTAAAAAAAAGTTACTTGAGCAATTAACCACTAACAAATTGCAATTAAAAAAAACCAAAATAAGTAAGTAGGCTTGTGCCTTTTTTAGCGCCTCGACCGCAAAGGCGGTTTAACAATGAAAGTTGTTAAAGGATATAAAATCACTATGGGACCTAGGTGAAACACATTATTAGGTTTTTCAAGAGGCTTGATCTTTGACACTTATGCTAAAAATCTAGGTCAGGTAATAGTTTAGACAACAAGTACAGATCCAACTGAACAAGACTACCAACATAAGGAAACTAAAATAATAAAATCTTAATGTTCCAATCTAACATGATCATACCAGCAATGTTCCCTCCAGGCCGACAGTTGCAGGTGTCACCACTAGCGCTAAAAAGTATGGGATCAGAATCTTATGCATCTGCATAATCACAAAAACAAGTTAACCACTAACATATGCCTCAATTCTCAACCTTTATTTACTTCATAAAAAACACCTGTATTTCTACCAGTAACCCTGCCCCCACAATGTAGTCAAAGGAGATAGTGAAACATTCTGAGCTAAAGCTTAAAAATTCAAGAACTGACCTCCTTGATGACCATCTGATCGGGTGTAAAAATGTAGGGGAATAACCAAGGAACAAATGTTCCAAAAATCCCCAAAAGCAACCCAAATACAGCTCCAATAGTTAAAAGAGACTTTAGCAGTGACTGAGCCTGTCAAGATAACACAAACTCAGGGAACTTTTGAATATACATAACAAAATGCATGGAGAGAATCTACAATATGAGTTAGTAAAGAGAACATAGTACTCCCTCCGTTTTTTTTATTATAAGTCGCTTTAGAAAAAAAATTTATACCACAATATAAGTCACTTTACAATACCAATGAATAATTAATGCTATTTTTCCTATTATACCCTTAAATATTTATTATTCTCTCTCCTTTCAATTAATGTAAATGTATCTTTCCAATGCCATTAATGAAGGATAATTTTGTAAAAACCTTTATAATTTCTCATTTTCATACAACAATTATTATGTTTCTTAATACGTGTGAAAAATTCAAAACGACTTATAATAAAAAACAGAGTCAATATCATTTTTTAAAACTACCCTTAAAACCATAAAGAAAAATGATCCGCCTATATAATATGAAATTCAACTGAGCACAAAAGAGAGCTCTAAAACTGATACGGTATATGTGAGGTTGGATGAGAGATCTTTTGAAATCAGTGAATGAGTATACTAACCTTTGCCAAACTCCGATTTACTCCATACATCAACTCAGGCATAAATGATTGAGCAGTTTGGGAAAGAGGTTCACCACATATTGCGCATAACATGTAGATCTGAAGCATGACCTATCATAAGAGTTGAGTTATCAAAGTTCGTGAGTATGGTGCTTTAAAAATGTGCAGATAGACAGAAAATGAATAGTTACGAAATAAACAAATGAGTAAAACTAACTTGATGAGCAGCGATTTTATGTGTACCCATTGATGTAGCAAAATATATAATTAGAGAGTAGAAAACCACCTAAAAATCAGAACGTTCAGTTATATTAGTTATATTTATAGGTTAGACTATTTGAGATAAAGAGCCACAAATATAGCAAAATACTTTATTCAACCTTTAACATCAATGTCACAAATACAGGAGCAGCAAGACTAAATATTGACAGAAACTCCTTCCCTGAAGGAGTGGAGAAGGCAAATGCATTGTATCCCTTCTCGCTTAGAGTTTGGCTCATCATATACGCAGCAACAACCTGAAAAAGGAAGGGGTGTAAGAGCAGTGCACGTTGATTGTTTTAGTACATTGAAAATAGGCAAAAAAACTATATAAGATACCATTAGTTATGATGTAGGGAATAATATTCTGAGGTATTGTTAAATTTGTCTGAGGAGTACAAACACTAATCGGAATATATAGAAGCTTTAAATCACGGGCCTGATTAATAAGCAGAATACAAAAAAGCTAATATTTGCATAGCATGTGCCTACAGCCCTAATTACTTATTTTCAGCATGATGCATATGAGTATGTTCAGCATACTTGTGATGCCAATGTAGCCCATGCAGCCCCAGCAATCCCATAGCCTAAATATCTGCACAGAATTATATCACCAATTCCATTTATAATACTGGCAGCAGCCAAAGCCTTCAAGGGTCCCCAAGAATCTTTCATACCAAGACTGCGTGAAAGAATATAGATACCAAGAATATGAATTAAATGAGAACCTAATAGTTATAATATCATCAAACTTAAAATCTTAAATAGCAACAGTCTACTAAATATTACATTAAAGTATTAATTCTCGGTAAAAAAACACTTTGCTCAAACAGTTCAAAGAACAATTTAGGCATTAAGAGCAGAGAGGGGGGTAATTCACATTTTCATATAAACATAAGAAGCAAATGAGAAATCATCAACATAAAGCAACCAGCATTGAGAGACAAAAGGAGCCTTGCTGTCTGATAAATGTCATTTATAATACCAAGAATTTGTGAGCAACTACTAGGACAGACTTTATCACCAAATTTAACAGCATTTCGAAAGAATTGATATAAATTAACATAGAATGTGGAGAACAGATTCTCATATTTGACATAAACTTTTGTAAATTGCAACAACTCATTTTTGAAAGTCGCACAAGAGAAATGAATAGCATGTCTGTACCTTGCACTCTGAGCAACTGATCCAACAAGTAAACAAGGCCATGCCAACCCTCGAATCTAACACCAAAAGAAATTCAGTGAGACTAAATCAAGCAGAGAATGATACCTTCCCTTGATCAATTTCAATATGTAAATAATGAAAAGACAAAGGCAGAATCTTATCTGAAAGATTGTGGTATACTTTATGAAAAGAAATATTGCCATACAAACCTTTATTTACTATTACAAGAAACGGAAAATGAAATTACATATTTCTCTACATAAATTGTATTATGTTTTCTTGAACTTTAAAAACATCAATTCCAATCTTAAATTAAATGGAATGATATCAATCAGAAAAGGAAAAAAACCTGGACATAAGTATTAGCTGCTGGTACTATATGCACATTCTTCGGTCCAGTAAAAGCTGCAAAAGACATAAATAGAACAATTCGTCAGTCGTAGCCTCATTGGGTTGGCTCTGTTACTATTAATGCATTAGTGAATTACTATTATCCCGAAAAGGGACAGAGTTGTCATTTTCAATACCAGCAATCATTGTTGCACCAAATAACCTTGTGAACAAAAGCATCGCCAAGCCACATGATAAACCAATAAAAAGCAAGACAGATATGTGATGCTGCACTTCCTCCCTATCCTACACAAATATATTTACTAATCAAAGGCAGTGCAATAAATCCTAAAAGTTCTGTATGCATAAAGTCATGGATGTGATTCATAACAATAATGCCAAAATGGATCTGAGCATACATTAGTTTAGTTATTATCCTCCGCTTCTGTCACTGTTGGGGTCTCTTATCTAATTGTGATTTGGCCAATTCCTAGACAATAGAAAAGTAACCACTCACTGGAATTCTAACAATCTTCCTATGAATACTGACTCTCACATCACTATACTTTCATCGGCATTACCAACCAACACAGCACTCTGCATGATTCCATTGCCATATAGACTTTTTATACAAGGATCTACCCCCACTCTTGCATCAAGTTAATTAAGCACCGATACCATTTGTTGGATAGTCCGTGAAGAATAAGGAGCAACTAACCTGTTTAGCAAGTGCAGTAGCAACCATATTTGAAGTAGCAATCGACAAAAACATGAAAGAGTAGCCCAAATAATCGCAAAAAACAGTAGCAGGACCTGTTCATGGAAAACGAAATTCATATGCATCATACATTATTGCTTAATTTTAATAATTAAACACTGAATGCGATAAAAAAAATACCTAAAGCAGCTAATTCAATTGAACTTCCTTGACCAACAACTGCAGTATCAATGAGACTCATGAAAGGTCCACACAACCAAAGTCCAATAGCAGGTCCAGTAAACAAAACAATTTCCTTCATCTGAATCCATATACTCTGCTCAACCAGTTCATTCACTTCTTCTTCATCTCGGTCCACATCAAAACCGTCGCGGATTTGTTCGGTGTGTTCAGACTCATCAATGACGTCGTGATTTTGAGCTACGCGAGCTGGTATGAATCCTGAGTGACGGTGCTTCGAAGATATAATACATTGTTTAGGTGAATGGATAGTGGTGTTGTTGAGAAGGGAAGGTGGGAGGAAATGAAGAGGTGAGTGGCGGTTGGAGTGTGAAATGAGGTTGCGTTTTTGGAAGAGAGAAGTGTGATTGAAATGTAGGGACGCCATTGTTGTTGTCTGGAAGTGGAAAGAAGGCAACGAAAATTTGAGACGATGACAGAAAAAGAAACGAGTGGTTGTAAAGTTCAAATCCGCGGGAATGATAATAACTAGATCCGGGATTTTTTTTTTTTAATACAAAAATATCTTAATACTACTAACAAGAGAATCTAAGTTATTAGTATTCTATTATTCCATTATAAATACGGATTGTGATCTACTGCACTAGAAAAGGTGCAGTCATTGAAGTCAGAGATTTATTAATTATTGGATCTGTTTCTCATTCAGTCTCCATCATTAAATATTTTTATTTCGAAAATATTAAAATAAAACTGTAAAAGCTAAATTTTTGGTATTCAAAATGAAATTTTCAGAATTAATATCACGTACTTATCGAAAATAGTGTGGAAATTTTAAAATTTTCGAAGATGATTTATCGGAAATTTTAGAAAATTTGATATTATTTTAGAAAATCAAAGAAATATATCGGCAATTTTTGAAATTTTCGATAGTAATACAATATTTCGAAAATTTCAGAATTTCTGTTATACCGGAAATTTTATAATTATTAGAAAATTTCGGTATGACTACTTATAAAATTATTTACTTGTGTGATTCACAGCTTCTTCTATGAATTTCTGTACAGATTTTACAAAGTTCTTCACTACGAATGTCATATGTTTTCTATGCAATAAATGTTATTTTTAATTGTTTTCCCGTCTTTATGAAACTGTTAGTTTAATATTTATATGTTGTAATTGACAGTTATTTAAGTTCTCATCTGAAGTTTTAGCATGTGCATAGGCTACTGGTAAACAACATAGTATTATTGTTGTCATTGTTCGTTCTGATTTTACTAATGGAATGTCAGAGAGGAAGGATAAATTGATTATAGGTTGTGAGAGAGGAGAAGATTACAAAAGAAGGAATGCATCTGAAAGTAATAATTCATTAAAAAGCATTTATAGTAAGAAAGTAAATGTTTTTTTAGGCTGAGATCTGTTTCAATTGGTATTGGTTTGAAGGTGATGGTTAGATGTGAGATGCACAGTCATAACCTATCTGAGGATTTGGAAGGCCATAATATATTGGGTTGTCTAAAAGATCGTGAAATAAAGTTTGTGAATGACATGATGAAGTACAATATTACTCCAAGGTACATAATTGCTGCTTCAAAAGACAAAGATCCAGAAAACCTCACGAGTGTTACTCAGATGTATAAAGCTAAAACTGTTAAATTGTAATTCATATGTGTCAAAAGAAGATTTGATTTGTTTAGATTTAAATAGATTTGAATTTAAATCTAGATTAGATTTGATTTAGTAAAGAGATATTTTGGGCTTGGGTTTAGCTTAGGGAGCAAGCTAACCTAAATCTATAAATAGAGGGAGTAACCCCTATTTTGTAATCAAGTCATTCACAGTATTTTGCAGTTGCAAAGTGAATTAATAAAGATTCCACAGTTTGTGGGCAGAATAGAAATTCTGCAGAAATATCTCCATTTTTCTTTTCTTTGTTTGTCATAACTAATCATCAGTGGTGGTCGAAATTCATCATAAAGTATTGGTGAAATTCCAACATCTGGTATCAAGAGCTTGTGTTACGATTCAAGGGAAGTATCAATCAAGAACGATTGAAGAATTCACAATGACAAGTTATGGGAATGCAAACTATCCAGCAACGCTGCCAATTCTAAAAGTTGACAACTATGAGAATTGGTGCAAGCAGATGAAAGTCATATTAAGGTGTCAAGGCCTTTGGGACCTTGTAAAAGATGGAGTCGAAGCGCTTGGCGAAAACGCTTCAGAAGAAGAAAAGAAGAAATATACAGAATCTGAGAAACAGAGTTATAAAGCATTGTTTATAATTCATCAATGTGTCAGCCCAGACAATTTCGAAAAGATTAGTGATTCAGAATCTGCAAAAGAAGCTTGGGAGATCCTGGAGAAATCTTTTGGAGGCGCTGAGAAGGTGAAAGAAGTGAGGTTACAAACTCACAAAAGGACCTATGAACTGCTTCAGATGGAAGACAGTGAAAACATATCTGATTTCTTCACTAGAGTTACAAAACTAGTGAATCAAATCAAGACATGTGGAGAAACATTAACAATAAGAGCTGTTGTTTCGAAGATCCTGAGATCCTTAGCTCCTAAGTTCGACCACATAGTGGTGGCGATAGAAGAGGGGAAAGAGTTGTCGAAATTGACAAAGGAAGAGCTTCAAGGGACGCTCGAATCTCATGAACAAAGAATGAACGAAAGAGCTGCAGGAAAATCGAAGAGTGATGTAGCCTTGCAGGCACATTCAGCAAAAGAAACCAAAGGCAAAGGAAAGTATTTCGACAGAAGTAGAGGTGGCTACAACAAATCGAATGGTAAAGGAAACCAAATCGAAGGAGACGTGTCGAATCAAAGAAGACCACACCACGGCAACCAAAGAGGTGGTGCTACAAACAGAAGAAGAGGTGGTGGTCGAAAACCTAATAAGAGTCACATTCAATGTTACAATTGTCAGAAGTATGGTCACTATTCAAGTGATTGTCCAGAAAAACGAAAGAATCAAGAAAGTGATGCAAAGCTTGCAAAACATGAAGAAGAAGAAGAGATGATGCTAATGGTCACAACAAGAGATGAAGATAGATTCAAGGACCAATGGTACTTGGATTCAGGATGTTCATCACATATGTCTGGAAGAAAGGACTGGTTCGTCAATATAAAACCCTCAACGAAGAATATGGTAAAATTTGCAAATGACAACACCCTAGCAGCTGAAGGTATTGGTGATGTTATGATCATGAGGAAAGATGGCAAGAAGTCAGTAATTTCGAATGTATTGTACATACCAGGCATGAAGAGCAATTTGCTCAGTATAGGGCAGTTGGTCGAAAAGAATTATAAAGTGTCAATCGAAGATAAGTTGATGAGAGTCGTTGATGCAAATGGGAGATTAATCTTGAAGGCTCGTATGTCTCAGAATCGAACCTTCAAGATTGAACTAAATGTGATGGAGCACAAGTGCCTTTCGACTGCAGCTAGCAGAGATGAATGGATATGGCATTATAGACTAGGTCATCTCAACTTCAGAGACATCATAGATTTGAAGAGAAAAAATATGGTTTCAGGATTGCCTGAAATTGACATCCCAAACGAAGTATGTGAAGAATGTGTGCAGGCAAAGCAACACAAGAACAGCTTCAGCAAGGATGCGGGAAGCAGATCAAAGGCTAATCTCGAAGTCATATACTCTGATGTATGTGGACCAATCCAGGTGGATTCGATGGGAGGTAATAAATACTTTGTTACATTCATAGATGATTTCAGTCGAAAGCTATGGACTTACCTGATCAAGAAGAAAAGTTAAGTGATCGAAGTATTCACCAAGTTCAAGTCCATGGTCGAAAGACAAAGTGGTCGAAAGCTCAAAGTTTTGAGAACTGATGGTGGAGGAGAATATGTGTCGAAAGACTTCGACAGATTATGTGAAAAGGAAGGGATTGTGCATGAGGTGGTGCCACCCTATACTCCACAGCAAAATGGAATTGCAGAAAGGAAAAATCGAACCATCATGAATATGGTGAAAGTATGTTGAAAGGCAAGAATTTACCCAAAGAGTTCTGGGGTGAAGCTGTTTCGACTGCAACATACATTTTGAACAGAAGTCCTACAAAGAAGCTAGAAGGAATTACTCCAGAAGAATGTTGGTCTGGTGTGAAGCCTAGCTTGAGTCATCTGAAAGTATTTGGATCTATTGCACATAGACATGTGCCAAATCAGTTGAGAAAGAAACTTGATGACAAGTCAAGTCAAATGATCCTAGTTGGATATCATTCGACAGGAGGCTACAAGTTATTCGATCCAGAGAACAAGAAGATTGTGATCAGCAGGGACGTGATCATAATGAGTTCAAATAATGGGATTGGACTGCAAATGTCAAGAAAGATTCAGTGGGAATCTTATTCGAAGAGCCAGAAACTCAAGTCGAAAGAGAAGTTTGACAAGAGGAGCCAGCAGATATACCCAGTACAAGCAGACCTCAAAGAACAAGACGCATGCCTGCAAGATTGCAAGATTGTGTGATTACATCATATGATGTGATAGATGATGAAGGTGAGCTGGTACATTATGCTTTCTATGCAGATGTCGAACCTGTTAATGCAGCTGAAGCATTAAAGGATTCGAAGTGGGTGAAAGCAATGAACGAAGAAGTAAAGTCTATCGAAGACAACAACACTTGGTCACTTGTCGAATTGCCTCAAGGCAAGAAGGCAATTGATGTCAGGTGGGTATACAAAGTGAAGACGAATTCGAAAGGTGAAGTAACTCGATACAAAGCAAGACTTGTGACGAAAGGATTTCTACAGAAAGAAGGAATAGACTTCGACGAAGTTTTTGCACCTGTGGCTAGGATCGAAACAATCAGGTTGGTTGTTAGTCTAGCAGAAATCAACAGTTGGCACATATGTCAGATGGACGTGAAGTGTGCATTCCTAAATGGACCCTTAGATGAAGAAGTCTATGTTAAACAACCAGTTGGGTTTGTGAAACATGACGAAGAAAGAAAGGTGTACAGGCTACATAAAGCCCTGTATGGTTTGAAACAAGCTCCAAGGGCTTGGAATAAGAAAATTGATAGTTTTCTAAGGGAGAAGGAATTTGTGAAGTGCATAACTGAACATGGAGTATATGTAAGAAGAAGCAAGAGTAAATTGCTTATACTATGTCTCTATGTAGATGATTTGTTGATAACAGGTAGCTGCAAGAGTAAGATCGAAGACTTCAAAGTTGATCTTAGCAAGGAATTCGAAATGTCTGATTTGGGTGAGATTTCATATTTCCTTGGTATCGAATTCCACAAGAGCAGTAGAGGTTTGATGATGCATCAAAGAAGATATGCAGGGAAAATTCTCAAGAGGTTTGAGATGGAAGAATGCAACTCAACTTCGACACCTGCAGAACCAAGACTGCAACTGTCGAAAGATGCAGATGAAGATGATGTTGATCCAACCCAAT